GCTGTATCCAGCAGTTATGTAGCTTTTACAAGCAGTTTTTCAGGCTATTGGAATTTTGTATCCGGAAGCTACTGTGTTTTGGGCTCTGCTGTTCCGGTGGTGGGGGGGGGGATCCCTTTGGTATCTGCAGATGTGATATTGGGGCAACCTACTTATAAGTTTAGGATTAGTTGGAGCAAAAGTGTATGCCCGTCCATGCCAGTGCTAACCATCTCTTTTGGCAGAAGTGATAATGTCTTGGGGGTCTGATTCAACCTAAATTCCATCACAGCGAGGTTGGCCACCACTCCTCTACATGGTTCAATATCTCTTACTTTTTACGCCTGTACAAGTGGGTCATCACTGGTTTGGTACCTAGTAAAACATGGAGATACCAAGACGTACAGAATCGCATACATCCCAACTCACGTTATTCAAGCTAACCTAAAGCAACAATAAACAGTGTCCTCTCCTGGCAATCCCTGTTTATTTGATATAAATCATATTCAAGTTGTAGACAGAATGGGGTCTCCCGCTCCTAGCGTACTACTTTCTTCTCTAAGCTGCTACTGTGATTGAATGCAGAACACATGTTTGTCCTGGTGAACTCACTTTAATAAGAAATGTAGCAAAAGATTAATGTGACAATTCCTTGAAAGGGAATTTTTATACACATTATGAATTTAACTCTAATAGAAAAAAAAAGTGAATAAAAGGGAAAGTTAATTCATCCGGAATTTGATGAGATCAACATAAGAGTTGGCTTTGATTTTTCACTATTGAATTTTTTTATTTTTTTATTTATTTTTTTTAGTATATCTTTTCCAACATATAAATCTTTTGCACAGATTAAGCAAACCTGGCTTGTGTTTTTTTTTATTGTTATCAAAAAGTGTTTTATGTCTAGTTTGTAAATCACGTTCACTCTAAAAGTGAAATTGAGTCGAGTGAATGTTTCATCAAAACGACCAGATAAATCTCCCATTACAAGCATTATTTTAGGTTATTGTCAAGGATCAGATGTTCTTGGGCAATTCATTATCCATATAGGGTGATCACATAAAAATACATCCCCCTTTTTTTTCTTTTATAGAGCTTCTTTCACCTATTCATTTTGGCAGAGTTTTCTATTACAAAACAAAGTCAAAGCATAAAAATCCCAAATCAATGTTACAACACATATATCTCTATTTTGTCATGGAAGATTTTTTTTTAATATATACTTTTCAATATAGATATTGGTTCAGTTCCTGCCAGGGTAATCTCAGCCTTGTGTTCTTGCATCGTCAATGCGGGTAGTACCATTAAGTTGGGTAATAATGACCTAAGTACTATGAAGACACGTATAACCTTATCAACACTTCTACATTAAATGCACAATATAAGTAGGTATTGTTATTAGATAAAGAACTGTTAATTTTTCTCTTAGTCAAATATTATAATTTCACCTACATCACAGCAAACCTTACAGAAATATGTGCCTGGAGCACAGCAACGTAAAAAATTGGCCCTTACAATTCTACCAGAATCCCCTGCTCAATATGCAAACATGCACAGGCATCAGTTACTTTAGCAATACTCTTCTATTACCACTGTAGTATATTATAACTGTCTATTTTGGCTTATGCTTATGTTTCTAATGGACCACTTTTTTTCTTCTTAGTTGAAGCCCAACAGGTGTTGTATTAAGTGCTCAGTATCTTTTGTGTTTATGCAAAACCATGCTGGTCTTCCATGATGCAAACAATTGGAGCTACTATGGATTGCCAAGTCTGATCTTTGGGAGACCTTTACCTTGAGGCAGATTTTTCCCAAACCAGTCTTCAAGACCCACCAACAATCTAGGTTGTGTCAGTATCTCAATTGGAATGAAACAGGGAAATACATAAATCCTGAACTGTTGGTGGGATATGAAGACTGGTTTGGAAACCACTGCCTTGAGGCGTTGGGGCTCTCACTATACTTTCCCTCCACAGCCCACCAAGACCACATAAGAGGGTCAGATCTTGCAGCCAGTGTCTTCTAAGACTACACAGGCTGCCTCATACAATGATTACCTCCAAAGAGGGAAGGGTGCAAGAGGACAAAAAAGAGGTGGTGGGCATCTTTGTTCTTTGTACCAACTCTGGCTATTTAGAAAAATAACAATATAGGACAAAAATTAATAATAATGTAGGTGTACTGTGAGTAAATATAAGGTCATTGCTGGACCTAGCACAGGACTGAAACGTTTTAGGCTAACCAAGCCAGAGCAGTAATGGTGATAAATGCTGGTTCCGGGGGGGGCAGGCCGGACCGCCGAGCTGACTGGTTGCATGTCTGACAGGCTCCTGCCTGATTTCCCTTATTTCCCTAAAACTAAGCAAAAAGCAACTCTTTTTGTACTTAAAAATCGACAGCTGTGTCTTACATAACCACTGCTATGCCTGCAGAACCCCCATTTGGACGCTGCGCAGCCCTGCTGGGAGATTGAGCACCTGGAGCTTGTGGCCTACTTGACTGAGGGTTGAGGTGGACGGCCACCATCTTGCTTACTCACGTCGGACCGGGGGGTTATCCGGTCCGCACTGGCCCGACTCGCACACCTCGGCTGGATCTTGCAGTATCTCGCAGTCTGTGTAAAACAGGAGGTGGTCCTGCTAAGATGACAGATGTGCCTCCAATATCGGAGCATACTGTTACGCAGCTCTCACAATGTGATGGAGCGATCACTTAAACGGCTGAACCGGATATTTAAACGCTTTTGGACGAAGCTAGTGAAACGATTGTTTCCAACACTAACCCATACCAAGAGGAGGGAGAAGTGGACTGGGGGGGTGGGGAGCTGAGAGTCTCTTTCGGGCAAAGCCTCTAATCCTACACTAATTACCCACGCTGACCACCTACCTAGGCTGAGGGTCCTGAGGAGATTAACTCCACAGCATCGACCACCCCGCTGAAAAACCGCCTGCCACAGGCTGCGGCAGAACACCTGCGCCTTCTGCTGCACCCGGCCCGCTGTGAGCCTCGATCTCACAGAGTATTCGAATATACAGATATCACCCTCTACACAGGCCTGGGGCTGGAGGAGGATCGTGTCCCGCCTGCACCGCTCCGGTACCCTCTGTCTCCCTGCTCCTGAAGTTGTTCTGCCACGTATGGGCATTGGCTGACTGTAACGGACTTGAGGACTCAAAGTCCATGTGCCACTATTAGAGAGTCACTGTTAAAAGAGTGATTATTTGTGTTTGTTAGCTCTTTGTTTTATGTTTGAGTGACACTCCTTAGATAAACGCAGTCTTAAAAATTACCCCTCCAAATATCGATTGGATCCATCACAGGCTACATAACCATGAACACACTAACTCATGATAACCTAGCACGTTGTGTAGTTACTATTTCACCAGTGGTTTATTACTTCCTAGGGGAATGGAGGTAGCGCCAAATTCCCCTTGTTTGTATTATTCTAATAGTAGGGCTTAGAGGGAGTCCTATCCGAGGTGTGCTGCCTATTTCTTTCAATATTTTTTGGGGGGGGGTTTGGTAAATTAGCTCTGATCCTTTTTTCTATTTTTTCTAACCTCTGTTTATTACTTCCTGTTGCAACCTAGCTTGTAGTTATTTGCTATTATTTTGTCAATCTCTCCATGTCTACCTAGTTCTACTCATGTAAAAGTGTAACGTTGGTACTACACTCAGACATGTATGTCTAGCTTATACATGCTACTATCTGTTTCCTAAAAATAAAAGCGGTATCATCAAGCGATTGTGTATTCATATACTATTCTTGTACATTATGCCATAAATATCTTTCTGCATGTAATGTTCTTTTTACCATACCTCAATAAAACAAAGATTCTGTGGATATTAATAATACCCCCTGGAGCCAAGACCAGGTAGCTAGGTGGACCAGTCATAACTGTGTCCCAATCTGTGGCCAGAGCATAAGGATTTTATTATTGTGACACCTGAACACATTCACCAGTTCGTTTGGCTTTTCATTGCTAACAGCAAGCTGCACAATTTTATAATTCTTGATATAGCCAATGGTGAAAATCTGTCTGCAAATGTATAGCTGGACAGCATTAAAATTGTGGACAGATCAAAAAGTGACAAAGAATCCATACATATTTAACCACTGATAAATACTGAGCATCACCTACTTAACTCATGGCAAACCACTTCGTCTGATTCAGGTACTTTCACAATTTTCCCAAGAATCCTAGATTGAATATGCAAATAAGTACAAATCGTGATTGCTGAGCAAACATGCAAAAATGTAAATCTGGAAATTTAAACCGTGATTAGTTTGAGTTCATCATGTTCATCAATACGCATTCTGTATTAATGAACCCGGTTGGTATTTGTATATTCCCTGTAGAACTCACATGGTTGTTTGATTCATATCTGATTTATAAGTTTTGGAACATGAATCAAATCTTTTCTCTTGTTTCCTGATAAATCACACTGTGAAATGTTCCATCAGCAACATCAACTGTAAGCAGAAAAAAATACAAATAAATCAGGTGCATCGTCTAGCAATATCACAGTGTTTATAGCAAAATGTGCAATTCGTATTTCACGCTTTATTTCTGGGTGGGGAGATCTTTGCCAAATGGCTGAGTCTCTTCATGACTCCAGTACTTTTATTATAGCAACTCAACACCTTGGCAGGGTTATCAAGAATACTTCAAATCTATAAACCACACAGATGTGAACCTTCTCTTTTTCACTGGTTTAACAGATATAAAAAATGCTGCGAAAATAATGCTGTGAATCCCAATAATCTATTTGACTCAATTTTCATGGCTTGTATATTTATCTGATCCTTGAAGAAGGTAATAAACGCATCTCACTTTGTCCATTTTTGATTTAGAACAGACGTTAGCATTAATTTAAAGATGTATTCCAAATACAAAAACAAATCCTTAAGGGGGTTATTTACTGAAGGGAGAACTGGTCTGGATTAGAGATGTCGCGAACCGTCCGCGAACTTCTCGCGAACGGTTCGCCACGAGCTGTTCGCGGCGAACTCCGGTCAGCTGACACGTCCCGGCCAATCTCCAGCAGACCCTCCCTCCCAGACCCTCCTACTTCCTGGACAGCATCCATGTTTCAACATTAAACATGGATGCTGTCCAGGAAGTAGGAGGGTCTGGGAGGGAGGGTCTGCTGGAGATTGGCCGGGACATGTCAGCTGACCGCGGCGAACCGTTCGCGACATCTCTAGTCTGGATTTCAAATTGAATTTCAAATTTAAGACCAAAGTAGGTGACCTGAAAGCATAGATGGCTTTGAGAATTTTCCTAGTTCGGCTACTTTGTAATTTGAAATTCATTTAGAATTTCTGCCCAATTCTCACTATAGTAAATAACAGTGTTATGTTACTCCCTTTCCTACTGCTGTGAATCCTTTACTGTCACTGTCTTGGGTGCACTGCTGTGTGTGAGCTGGATCGGTTTAGAGGGGAGGTGACTAAGTTCTCCCCACAGAGACAAAAATACAGGTGTACAAATCTAAAAGGAGAAAATAATGACAATATCAGAGAAATCCCCTTCTCCAAGGCTAACTAACGTAGTTGCTGCATGCAGACTCCGGCAGTGTTGCAATCATCGGCTCCTCAATAGTAATATAGAACTCATACATGCAATCATCGGATCCTCGATAGTAATATAGAACTCATACATAGAACTCCTACGTGCAATCATCGGCTCCTCGATAGTAATATAGAACTCATACATGCAATCATCGGATACTCGATAATAATATAGAACTCATACATAGAACTCCTACATGCAATCATCGGATACTCGATAGTAATATAGAACTCATACATAGAACTCCTACGTGCAATCATCGGATCCTCGATAGTAATATAGAACTCAAACGTGGCTTTCCACTAAAGTGAAACTGAATTCAAAGTAAATTCAAACAGACGATTTGATAGCTGATTAATTTATTTTCCATTTGACTATCTTGTGCTTAAATTTAAAATGTACTTTGGTTTCCTGTCAATTTTAGTGAATAACTCTGAAAGCCTCGTGTTGGGTCACGGATGTTCTCAAACCTGGGACTGTGTTACAAAGAGGATCACAGTACAAAATCTAGCTTTATTGTGAAAACCAATATAATGGCCATCCCATTGTCAACTATTACAAATCTGAAACGTGCACATGTGTGTGTTTTTTTTATTTTATTATAATTTGTTGCTACCCACCTTTTTTATTTTTTATTATGGGATGCCAAGTATTTGTATTCCATCCTATCTGCAACAATCACTAATACTGTGATATATTTTATATTGGATTTCTACAATAAAGATTTGTTTAGAATCGCAGTCCGTTTTGTAATGCAAGGCCTGGTTTGAGTGCGCGAGCGAGTGACCTGACTTGAAACTTGGAGTCCAGGTTTGTTCTCTGTCTTCTGGTGCTTCACACTAGTTTTTAAAAGATTGTCTTGTGAATATACAACCGGCAAGATCTTTTCTGTCTGTAACCTCTTCTCCTTAGTTTTCCTAGTACTCTCCAGTAACGGACAGTGATAAACCTGTAAGTACAGGAGAAGGATGTGTGTGGGCGGGTGACAAAATATGAGCCTTGGAAAATAGGATATGTTGAGACCCTCAGAGCATCTGATCAATAATGCGTGCACTGAACTCTCCTGAAACGACTGATGACATTGAGCCGGTTTGATGAAAAGGAATGTAGTCTTGTTGTTTTATTGTGTGGGATGTTAAATCCTTCTTGAAGAAAGTGAAATGGCTAAATCTATTAATGAAATGACAAACTAGAAAGGGCATTAACTCTTTAAGAGCAAGAGGAGTGAGATTAGTGATCATGTGGTCATCAAAAATTATTTAAATAATATGGATAAATTAGATGTTATTTGGAAATCTGGTTGGAAAGAGAAAAATAAAGTTAAACAAGTCTAAAATATTTTGTGACACATCAAGAGTCAAGTGTGAATGGATTGTTTAAAAGTGTATGTATACTGGAATGATAAAAATGAACGTGAAGTTATGTAAATGTTATGTAATTTTTGTATTAACCCTGTGCCACCCCTGTTCACTGTTGTATTGATATACACATTCCGCTTTTAAAAAACATTGATCTAGTTTTTTGTTTTCAACTATATCGGGAGTTATGGTTCTCTAACAAAAAAAAAAAGCAAAATTTAGGTCAAAATAAAAAACAGACAGTTTGGTCAACAATACACTGAAGCACTAAGTATTAAGTACTATTCAATGGGCCAGATTAAAGCCCAGTGGTGTATTTTGGATTTGTGCTGCCCTAGGCAGGACGGTGCTCTGACACCCTCCCCATATTTAAATGTTCCCCATCTCTTCCCGTCAAGGCCGCACTTTGACTGACAGACACTTTCTTACTAAATCATTCATTAACATACACGAAAAGACACAGTCATTGGCACACATACTGTTTAACCAACACACACTTTCACTGAGACAGACACACACAAACACACTCTCTCATATACACTGTCAAACAATGACATACACAAACATTGATTTGACACACTTTGACAGACACACACTCACTGACACACTCACAGACACACACACACTTACAGACACACACATTTCCCGCAACCCTCACAAATAATTTTTTGTTTTTTTATTTGAATTTAAAACCCCCTGCCTCCCTGGAAGAGCTAGTGATTTACTTACCTGCGGTCCAGTGGGGCTGTGCGGGCAGGTAGGGGGCGGACACGCAGCGAGGGAGCTTTAATCTTTCTGCTCAGCTCCCTCGTGCGCTGCTTAGTTATGCCGGGAGCCGGAGTGACGTCATATTACGGCTCCCGGCTTCATTAAGTGGCGCGCGAGGGAGGTGAGCAGGAATAGCTCAGGTGAGCATGCTCCCTTGCTGCCTGGCATAGTAGAAGCTGCCACCCGCCTTGGAGGGGCTCAGGAGCTGGCCGGCTGGCCACTTTTGGACACGAGGTAAACAAGGCATCCGCCTGGACATTTCGGGTGGCTTTTTTTGCCGCCCCCTTCAAAGTGCCGCTCAAGGCAATGCCTTGTTTGCCTCGTGTAAGATACATTGCTGAGTGGGCCTGGTGCTTACAATTATGAGGGGCCTAAGTACAGAATCTTATCGACCAAAAACACTAAAACAGTCATACCTCCCAAGGGTCAGGTATCTGATGGAGATGTTGCCGGAGGCAAACACATAGGATGCATCTATAAGAGAACTCAGATTCTCTTAAAATATGCTAGCCTCTCTCTAATTCATGCTTTCATCTTTCAAGTAAATCCATACCCCCTAACCGCAGTGTCCAGTAAAGCAGGAAGTCAATGGGCGGTGTAAAAGAGTGGGCCACTGACGCGAATCATGTAACCAGAATTCCCGAAAGGGACGAACATACCCCCCAAAAAAGGGCGTGTCTGCCCAAAGAATTGGAAGGCTAGCCTGGCATGAGTGCATGTCAGGCTGCCTGCCAGTCATGCATGCTGGCCAACAGCATCCTGAGCTTGGCATAAATGCATCTAATGATGCGATCGCTCCATGCTTTCTAAGGACTGTCCCCTAGCACTCACATGTCCACTTGTCTCCTTACCTTCTTACTAGCAGGCAGAAGCTCCTGGTATACAGTCTGAGACAGAGAAAAGGTGTATGTAGTGAGTGTAGAAGAAAGGGAACATGCCACCGTGTTAGAGAGACCAAAGTCAGCATTAAGTTAACTAATTTAATTTCAGCTAGTCCACACAAGTTTTGTTTCCATATATCCCTCTTAAGTTTCCATACTTATGCTTGAGTATGTGAAGAGTATTTAGGGTTGCCACCTTTCTTGAAAAAAAAATACAGGCCTTACTAATTTTCATAACTAATTATGTGTGTGTGAAAATTCTGTAAAATCACCCAAAAACTACTTAGTTTGATTCTGCTGTATAGATGGATTGCTCCCAGTATCCCCATCTTGCCCAGTGTCCCCTAGTATGTGTCCCCATGTCTCCTAGTGTCCCCATGTCATTAGGGGACACTGAGAGACATGGGGACACTGAGACACCAGGGGCACTGGCTGGGAGACATGGGGACACTGAGACACTTGGGGACATTGTGTCTCAGTGTCCCCATGTCTCCCAGTGTCCCCAAGTGTCTGTGTCCCCATGTCTCCCAGCAGCCCCTAGTGTCTCCCAGGACTCAGTGAACAGCGGGTTGGGGCCCTAAAGTAAAATGGGGGGGCCTATTGCCCTCCCCCCGGCCCTTACTCCTGAGCGGCGGGTGAGGGCCTTAAAGTAAAATAATGGGGGGGGACCTATTGTCATCCCCCCACCCACCGCTAATTTAGGGTCCCCCCCATTATTTTACCTTAAGGCCACCGCTCAGGGGTGGGGGCCGGGGGGGAATAGGCCCCCCCTTTAGTTTAAAAAGATGCGCAAGTGGGGGCTCGGAAGGGGGGACCCTTTTTAAAAAAAAATGTTTACAGTGAGCAGCCACTGGCTGCTCACTGTTTACTAGAGGTGCCCCTACTCGCGGTATAGCGAGTAGGGGCATAATTTACTAATACTAAGTAATCGTTACTTAGTGTTAGTAAATTTGTCTGAAAGACCAATTTAGGTCTTTCAGCCTTTTGGTAGATAACTCCCTAATACCGTGGGAATTAGGGAGTTATCTACCAAGCGGCTGCAAGAGACGTTCCGAAGTTCCAAAATTACCAAATTTCCAAAGTGTCGAAGTCCCGAATTTCGGAATGCTGAACCGAAAAATTTTCCCATGCACATGCCTACTACACACACTAATAAACATACTGCTGTCCACACTGTTACAAAACACACACTACTGCATATACACTCTACACAGACACAGAAATACATACACACATACACATGAACTCAGACATTTCCACACATTGATATATATATATATATATATATATATATATATATATATATACACACACACACTACTGCCCATATACACTCTACACAAACACACATAGACACAGAAATACATAGACATGCACTCATTTACACATATTGCTATACATGCACACACACATATACACACACTCAATCTATATGTGTATATATATATATATATAAAACAATACTTATCATATGTGTGCGCATTCATTATAAATTCATACGAAAATGCTTTCTGTGCTTTTATGTTTATCAGTTTGTATAATATGATTAAAAAGCCCTATTATATCTTTGTCTTTAATTAAAATAAAGTATCCC